CAATGAACATTAAACAAGGTTAGGGCTCAGAGAACCCCTTCCTCTGTCTTCCTCTTCAGTCTTTTTCAAACCCCAGCTCCAGCCCATCTAGTAACACATTAACTTTTTTCACTTATCTTTTTTCACTGCTTGCCTCTCCGAGTCAAGGCCTCTTCTCTGGTCCGTGGTGCTGTCCTTGTTATTATCTATGACCTTTCTCTTGTGGGTAGCCTTGGAATTCTGCCAATATCTATGACCCTAGTGCTGAGACAAACAATAGAGATAAAGAGTGCTGAGAAGGCAAAGCTGACACTTAGCAGAGGCATACGTTGCCATAATAAAATAAGTAAAAGTGTGCAAAGGCCAGTGTGTAAGTTCTGTTTGCAGTGGTTGGATCCCTGCTGTGTGGGCTGTCCTCTGACCCTATTGCTGGGACTCTATGGTATGACAGCCTCAGGGGCCAGGTGGTTAATGAATCCCCCCATTGGAGTTATCACTAAGCTCCACTGGGTTCTTCTAGATCCACATGGATGATCCACTTCTAAATATCTTTGTGTAATCCTGGGCTCTTGGATACATTTGCCTCCAGGCTCATCTGGCTCTGCTGTTGGGCCTCAGCAGGAATAAAAGAAACCCTAATGAAGGACCTCATATCCTGGGCCTGGGTTCCTGCCTTGAAACTTCTCTGGCTTCTCCAGCACTGTTGGATTGGGCCCTTCTTCCTTCTTGTGAGTACCCCAACTTCAAGGCCAGCCTAAAGTTAAGGTGTGGAACAGGCTGACCATCTTTCCAAATGCCCTCCTGATCTCTGCAGGTTGCCTGGCTCCAGCCATTCTGTTCCCTCTCCTACACTTCCCTGGAGCCAGCTGTGGCTCATTCTTGCTCTGTGCAGTGCTTACAACTGAGTCTCTCCAGAGCACAAATAAGGGGACAGTTCCACGTCTTTTCCCTGGTTTGCCCTTCCAGGCACATCATCAGCATCAATACTTTCAACTTGGTCCAGAGCTCAAGAGTGCTATTTGTACCCGTGAGCTATATTGTGAGTACAGTAGGCCTTTGTATTTTGCACTTTAACTACAACCATCATCAAGGGGCCGCATATGCCAGGTATAAGCCAAGTCCCTCATATGTGTTATCTTATTTAAGCTTCACAACAATCCTATAAAATAGGTATTAGTATCACATTGTATGTGGGAAACGTATTTATACGTTTTATGTTGACTGGTAGTAGAGCAAGCGATAAAAACTACCCGCAAACAATGTGGTATTAGCCTAAATCACAGAAAAGAAGTCCCCGAGGCTCAGAGAGATTACAGGATTTGCCCGAGGTCACAAAGCTAGAAAGTAGCAGAGCCAAGATTCAGACCTACCTCTGTCCTGCCAAAGCCCAGGTGTGCCTGTAAAACTACCTACTTGGTGTTACTATCATGTAGGTTATCTCAACAAAATATATTTCACACCATTTGTGAATGTGATGTTAGCCTATTTAGCAATTAAGAGTGGATACTTCTTTTGATTCCCTTATAAATCAAATATTCAAAACACCTCTTTATTGAGAGACTCTGTGATGTGTGGTTTTTATGGGAAGGTGGGACTTTGTGTGGAGAACATCAAAGAAAAGTTAGATATAAACGGGAGCGATTTTTCTAGATTCTGATACTGGAGCAGGTATTCATCCCTTCATCATTTTGGCCTCAGAGATTTTACGGCTCAACAGCAGAGAGTTGCTCAGAATCGGAGTGACCAAGCTGGTAGAAAACAGAGCCAGTGCAGTGGGGCCAATAAAAGCGGGGTGCACATGACTCTTTATGGCTCCCTGTCATTGGACTGTCTTCATCTACAGTTAGAAACAGGCTGGAGAGGTAAAAAAAATAAAAATAAAAATAAAAATAAAATATGAAATAAATAAATAAATACATACATACATAAATAAATTCCCTACGCTGTATCGGGGGCTGCGTAAACAGTTCTTGCAGGAAGACGGCCCCCCTGCCCGATCTCTGTCAGTATAATCTCGTCTTCACCGGACGTCCAGCCCCCAGCACTGGCTGGGCCCTGCTGGAAGGGGCACCGTGCAAACCACGCTAGCGCTTCGCTAGCGGCTGCCTATTAGGCTCTGCCGACAGGGGGCGCTAGAGGGAGGTGACGAGGCTGGGGGCGGGGCTTCTTGCTTGCTTCCTGCCCACTTCCTGCCCGCTTCCTGCTCGCTTCCTGCCCGCTTCCTGCCCGCTTCCTGCCTCTGAGCCTCGCCGGCCTACGCCTCGCTTCGCGGTGGGGCTTGTTTCCTGCAGGGGCGCGGAGCCCGGGTTACGGTGACAGCTGAGGGACACGCCGCCGGCGCCCAAGAGGCCTGGGTCTCAGCCGAAGGGGCTGCCCCTGGGAGAGCTGAGCGCCAGCCCCGCACAGATCGCTGGGTTCCAGCTTGTTGGTACCTTTCTTCCCGAATTCTGAGTTTAGTAATCCCCCCCCTTCATCCCGCCCTGGGGTGGAAGCCACTGCCCTAATAATGTAGCGCCGTCTCTCCCTTCCCGCCACACACAGCTGTTCGGTTATTTACTTAACTTTATACCTGGTGAAGTCCTTTCTATTACATTTGCTATTTCAAATATTTGGCCAGGATGCTACATGGGGAGGGGTGGTTCGGGGTGAGGCAAACAGTGACAGACAATGCCAGCGGCTTCGAAAGAGGCGCCTTCCACCCGGCATTGCCCAGGTCGCCCTGCGGGGCCCTCGCTGAAGTGCGCCTGCGCACAGCGCTGCCCATTCTTCAGGCCGCCAGGAACCCCGGCCTCGCAGATATTCACGAGGGAGATGGACAGTCTGGAACCCTGCGGGTATTTCTGCCGCGTACAGATTATTAACAGTCATGGAAAGACGGGCAAGTGGATTTTTTCGAGGACTTCCCATTTGAAGAACAAACTCATTTTCATTGACCTTTTTTTTTTTTTTAAAAAAAAAAGTACAAAATCCGCCCCCCCCCAAGCAAAGCAAAAACCACAAAAGAAACAAAAGAAATGTCTTTTTATTGCTTTACTCTGGTAACGCTCAGGGAACATAAGAGGAGTGACACTTGGACTCCAGGCCGGGGAAAGCACAGGGAATATCTGTTGTGTTTCTATGATTCTTTGTTAAGGGGTGGGGGCGGGGAAGCTTTCAAGCTCTTATATGAGCATCGACAGGTTTTTATGAATCGTTTCCTGGAAGGAGAGCATGGACACAAACTGGGCTGTCCTGGTTGAAACAGCGGCTCTCCTTCTCAGATACTGACAGCATTTTTTCCTGGCCTACTCACCTCCCTGAATGACTTGTTCTTGAAAATATGCTCCTGAATGACACCCACCTGAGCCTGCTCTTTCTTTTATCTGAGAGCAGGAAGCTCAAAGGGGAGTGATAAAGCCATTCACTGCTCTCTACTTTGCAGAAATTAAAGAGGAGCCTGAGACAGTTTCTTGGACGTCCTGTGAATATTAGAAACTGTATTTTGGAGGAGCTAAAAGAAGACCAAGGGATATGGTGTTCACATTTGCTTCCATGGAACCTAACCTATCTTCCCTGGGAAACACAAATAAACTGTGGCAAGAGATCTACCTTAAGTAGGAAAGAAGCTTTTAACGGTGAGAATTTTCTTAATTTTTCATTTTTTCTTCCTCTTAGAGACCCATAAAAATTATTACTAAAGAGGATACAAATCTTATGCTTATAAAGAGGATACAAAAGGCGAAACAATCATTGCCGGATGTGTCACATTTTGCTTCTGTTTCTCTGCTCTTAAGGATTTTTGTCTATAGTATCTGGTTTTCTTTGATGGTACTCAGTTCCCTGTATTGTTTTTGACAGTTAGCTGTGTTTTGAAGGAATAAGTGTTAAGCTTATAGACAAAATAAGGAGGGGGGCGGGAGAATGGGGGAGTCCCAGAATTGCTTCTTATATGTGATATTTGGTAAGTTATTTAGCTTCTGTTTTCCTAACTATAAAATACACATTATCTGTTTTCCTATCTAATAATACTACATTTTAGGTATGTTGTGAAGATTAAATGGGACAATGTAAAGAAATATTTCTGGCATATAGAAAGCACTCATTAAATATTGTATATGCATAGCTCTGTGTGTGTATGTAAATATATTTTAAATTTGGATAGACTAAGTGCTATCTATATGAATGATAAAAGCATTTTTGGATTATATCCAATTTTTAAGAACATCTTTTAATTAAGAAAAAGATTTTTTAAAAAATGTATTGATTTTTGAGAGAGAGAGAGAGGGATTGAGATTGATTTGTTGTTTCCTTAGTTATACATTCATTGGTTGATTCTTGTATGTGCCCTGACCTGGGATCAAACCCGAAACCTTGGCATATTGGGATGACACGCTAATCAACTGAGCTACCTGGCCAGGGCGAAGGAACATTTTTTAAAAAGGGTGATTAGCTATTACATCTAACCAAAGAATTACAAATGGTAAAAGCACCCTAATGTATAAATTGCCAAATAAGAGCAAGAAATATACTTTTTTCTTTTAAAAGGACTTTCGAATTTCTAGAACTGATATTCACAGTCTGAATTTCATGGATTTTCTCTCTAGACCTATCAGAAATTCTAGGCCCAGATAAGGGCTACATTAGAAACAGGGTGGTAAGCCGGGGTGTTGGGAGGGGGGGAAGAATGGGGAATGAAGGGTGGGAACTTCCTCTTACTAATTCCACCTCTGCATCAGCAGGTGCTCAGTTCCCCTTCTCTTTCTTTGGAGGTGGAGGTGGAGCCAGGTCCTGATTGTGGTATGATCAGCTAGTTTGTAGGGTCAGGTTATAGACCTCCATTAGCAACCCAAGCATAGGTTCCTAGGCAGGTCATGACTGAGGATATTTGCCTAGAGAAGAAATATTTTGCCATCACTTTGGAGTTGGACTTGATGTTCCTGGGAACCTATTCAGGGTTAGTTTGTAATTGAAGGCATTTTGTTCTGTCCAAGGATCCCATTCTCCTCCTTCCCTGTGCCCAAACTCTACCGATCTCCCATACCATGAAGATGATTTGGTGGAAGAAGAAATTCTGCTGGCAGCATTACCTCTGGGCCCTGGGCTGCTATTTGCTGCTGGCCATTGTTGCTCTGAGATTCTCTCTCAGGTTGAAGTGCGACTTTGATTCCCTGGATCTGCAGGCCAGGGACTTTCGAAGCAAGCACTGTAGGGACATCTTGTACAATTCCCTGAAATTGCCAGCAAAGAGATCCATCAACTGTTCTAGAATCATCCAAGGGGACAAGAAAGCAGTGACTGAGGCTCTGCTGGACAGGCTGGAGGTCAAGAAGAAGCGGGAGCCTTTCACAGAGGCTGACTACCTCAACATGACCAGAGACTGTGAGCGCTTTAAGGCCGAAAGGAAGTTCATACAGTACCCACTCAGCAAACATGAGTTAGACTTCCCTATTGCATACTCTATGGTGGTCCATGAGAAGATTGAGAACTTTGAAAGGCTGCTGAGAGCTGTGTATGCCCCTCAGAACATATATTGTGTTCATGTGGATGAGAAGTCCTCAGAAGCTTTCAAAGAGGCAGTCAAGGCAATTATTTCATGCTTCCCAAATGTCTTCATGGCCAGTAAGTTGGTTCGGGTGGTTTATGCCTCCTGGTCCAGGGTGCAGGCTGACCTGAACTGTATGGAAGACTTGCTTCAGAGCTCAGTGCCATGGAAATATCTCCTAAATACATGTGGAACAGACTTTCCTATTAAGACCAATGCCGAGATGGTCCTGGCCCTCAAGATGTTGAATGGGAAAAACAGTATGGAGTCAGAGATGCCTACTGTGCACAAAAAATCTCGCTGGCAATATCACTATGAGGTGACAAACACAATACAAATGACCAGCAAGACTAAGGACCCTCCCCCTGATAATTTACCTATGTTCATAGGGAATGCCTACATTGTGGCTTCTCGAGACTTTGTCCAGCAGGTCTTCGAGAACCCTAAAGCTCAACAACTGATCGAATGGGTAAAAGACACCTATAGCCCCGATGAACACCTTTGGGCCACACTTCACCGTGCACCATGGATGCCTGGCTCTGTTCCCTACCACCCCAAGTTTCACATGTCAGACATGGCTGCCATTGCCAGGCTGGTAAAGTGGGCGGGCCATGAAGGAGACATCAGTATGGGGGCACCTTATCCACCTTGCTCTGGAATCCACCAGCGGGATATCTGTATTTATGGGACTGGGGACCTTCACTGGATTCTTCAGAACCATCACCTATTGGCCAACAAGTTTGACCCAAAGGTGGATGACAATGTTCTTCAGTGTTTAGAAGAATACTTACGTTATAAGGCCATCTACGGGACTGAGCTCTGAGATACACTGAGAGAACTGCTACCTGTGGGGCAAGAACATGTACAGACATGCCTAGAATGTGCTGGGACAGTGTGGGGTGGGGGACCAGGTCCTCTGGAATCCACAGCATCCCGCAGGGTAAGGGGGCTGCTATTGGAGTGTGAGTAAGTAGCTCTCCTGCCTTGCAAACAACTGCCCCAGATGAACCCTGACTTATCTCACCCCACTCCCAATAGCCCCTCCGCTGCCTTTCTCAGAGTGAGCATAAGAACCAGTTATTTGAGAGAGTCAGGGAGGGAAGTGTGGCAGGGGACCCTGGATTTTAGTTGAATACTTGTGTCCAGCTTTTCCATTCTGTGGAGATGCCATTCCTAATAATTCTAGGCTTGGTAGTGGGGAGTGGGAGTTTGATGGAAAGAGGACCTTCTCTTTTGTACTATTAATTTAAAAATAAACAGCTCCTGATTCAAAGCCCTGCCTCTACTTTCTGTTTGGGAAGCCAGAAATAAGACAAAAGTGTGAGACGTTTTTTCATTACTATTGGTGGCATTTAATATTCCTAGTGGCAGGCAAGAGACTCATTAATTCCAAAATGATCATGGCAGGCTGTAGAAATAGCAAATTCAAAAGACAAGAGAGGAACAGAGCTGCTGCTTTCATGACTGAAAGCCCTCCTCATGTTTACATTGCCAGACTTCTGTCTGGGAGAAGGCAGGGCGATTTAACCGAGTTGACCACCTGATCCTTATGGGAAAGTTACAACTCTAATTTTGCGGGCTTCACAGCCAAAGCCTAACATTCCATTACAAAGATAATAGCTAGTTTAGGTAAGGTCACCATATAATTTATTGTCCAAACTGGAACACGTTTAGAGGGGGGAGGGAGGCAGCATTATTAAAATTATGCTGGGAAACAGGAATAAACTAGGACTGTTTAGCTAAACCAGGAAGTCAGATTTTGTCACTTTTAGGCCTTTTGAATGAAAAATCTTAAGTATGTGAATGGAAGAGTCACTATTTGTGGTTCTTTAGCTTATAAATTTCCTTGGGGGGGGGGACAATTTTGTGTATGTATATGTGTGTATATTTGCTCTACTCCCTCAAAATGTTACTCAGTGAAACAATTATTGCTGAAGCTCCAGAGATAATTGTCATAGCATTGGAAGGCTATTGGCTATTGGTGCTACTCTTCTGTGATAAGGGATACCACATAAAAAGAGGCATATCTTATATATAGTACAGTTGATCTTGCACAATATGCTTTGGAAAACTGATTTATATACAAATCAATTTGTGTGATTTGAATGATGTTCCCATTACTATGCATGATACCGTGTTTCTTCACTTCTGATTATGACTCAGGAAGTTTTTCTCTCATAGTCAACTTTCCCTGTAACCCGTGTATTCTGGCGTAGTGATCACTGCGTCTGGCACAGCGAATTTTCTATTTATAAGGTAGTGACTGCTTTTTGTAAGGTTGTACTCCTTTGGTAATGGGCCTTGCCACCACCAACCCACCTTCATCATCATATTGAGTCCTCTGCACCTTGCTGCCAGGCCCGCCTTGGAGATGACGATAGTCATATGGTCAGCATGAGTCCCCCTGTAAGGTCTGTTCCCAGCAGTGGAGCTCATGGACCTCTCCACTGCCACTGTGGGAACTGGGCAGAAAAGCTTTCCTGAATGCGTGTGCTCTGAGAAAAGAACTTGGGTTTTTGGCCTCATAGTCAACTTCCCCTGTACATTTTCATGTGAAATACATTATATTTTTTATATAAATAAACTAAAATGTGAACTTTTCATTTGCGGGGATCACATTGCTGGAATTTTCCAAGCACTGACATTTTTTTTCTTGAAATACATTCAAGTGAATAGAAAGTGCTCTTTATTTAATAACATAAGGTCTTCATATCAGAAGGGTCAAGTTTCTCCCTCATTTGTGTAGTTTATTTTAGAAATCATACAATTAAACCAAAATGTTTGGTGATTTTTTTCTTCTTCCCTCTGAGTCATATTTGTTTCTTTAACCTTTCTCTGGAAAGGAAAAATCTTATAAATGAATCGAGCGACTGTACATGTATAGTACCTCTCAAGGTTTGAATTACGTCTTTAGTTTTGCTTTGTGAACTATTGGCAAGCAGTTTTGTTTTTGTTTTTGGCAAGCACTGTTTCTTTATATGTCTTCATTGATTTTTAGAGAGAGAGGAAGGGAGAGGGATAGAGAGGATAGAGAGAGAGAAACATGAATGAGAGAGAAACATCATCCATCTGCTGCCTCCTGCATGCCCCCTACTGGGCATCGAGCCCGAAAGCCAGGCATGTGCTCTGACTGGGAATCAAACTGGTAACCTCTTGGTTCATGGGTCGACGCTCAACCACTGAGCCACACTGGCATGGCACAGGCACTGTTTTAATAACTGCATTTTGATGCACACTCCGCCTATTATAACCTTTGTTCTCTTGATTGAGTGAAAACTTTTTTTTTAAATATATGTTTATTGATTTCAGAAAGAGGAACAGAGAGGGAGAGAGACAGAAACATCAATGATGAGTCATTGATTGGCTGCCTCCTGCACACCCCCTGCTGGGGATCAAGCCCACAACCCGGTTATGCCCCAACCAGGAATCAAACCGGGATCTCCTGGGTCATAGGTCGATGCTCAACCACCTGCTGAGCCACACTGGCCGGGCATAGTAAAACTTTTTTAAGAAAGGAAGAAAAGGCAGTTGATAATCTTGTTTGGGACAGATGGTGTAATTTATTTGGGGAGACTACATATTTGGATTAAAAATGGAAAGAACCATTAAATACATTGTCTGCCTTAAGTAGTTTATTGAACTGAAGATTTATTCTTCCATTTAGTGAGTCATTTATTCATTCCACGACTATTAACTAAGCTCATACTATTTACCAGGCATTGTTCTTGACCCTGGGGATAGATAGCAGTCAACAAAGCAGACAAAAATTGCCACTCTTGTGTTCTTTACATACTGGCTTTAAACTGAAATATAGAAAAACCATCCTGAATAATCAAATGCAACTGAAGAGTGGCTGGAGAGCAGCCTCATAACCAAGGACGAAAAGTGGAGACCACATGGAGACTGGTAGGAAGTGCAGAGGCACGAGAGAGCTGGCTGGGCTCCCACAGGCAGCAGCTGAAGACACACAGGGATATCTCAGCTGTGGAGGGTTCCCACTGAGGACTCTGGGGCCTAAACCCCAGGCTGGGCTTCCCAGCCAAAGCACCAGCACTGAGAAAGGTGCGCACATAGCATCTGGCTGTGAAAAGCAGCAGGGTTTCTGTCTGCCAGGGAGAGATGGCTGGATCTGCAGGTACCCTCTTAAAGAGCCAGTGCACAAAGTTTCGTGTGCAGCCACTCACCTTGGGCTACAGCAGAGGGAGGGCAGAGTGGACTGGGGCTGTGTGAGGAGAACCTAGGGTTGTGGGCTCTGGAGATAGAGCTCAGAGGGCACCCCTCTGAATTCCTGTGCCGAGTCATTCCTCATACTGCAGAGGACATCTTTCATAGGCAGACATTTACCTTTCAAGCAGCTTTTGCCTGAGTGGGAAGCACTTGCCCCACCCTGTAGAGTTTCTACAGCCTGAGGCTCATTAAGAGAATCAGATTAATCAGCCTGCAGCCCGAGGCAGATCTCAGAGTGCTTTGAGTCTCTGCCTGATCTTCTTCAGGACCCGGGCCTTGGAAAAGCAGACTTTGGTGTGCATCTTGGTCCTGTCCAAATGCACCCAGCACCAACAGAGGGGACCTCAAGTTGTGGGTTGTTGATAGCTCCAAACAGGGCACTCAAGGCCAGTCACAAACAGCGTCTGACATTGGCCTACACCAGAGACCTTCCAAAAAGACTGAGTCCTAGCAGGCCTACCTAATACATAGAAACAAACCCAAACAGGCAGCCAAAATGGGGAGACACAAAACAAAAACAAAAACAAGCTCCAAATGAAAGAAAAAGAACTCTCCAGAAAAAGAGCTAAATGAAATGGAGATAAGCAATCTAACAGATATAGAGTTCAGAATACTGATTGTAAGGATGCTCAACAGCATGAAAAAGATATGGAAACTATGAAAAAATGACCAGTCAGAAATGAAGAATGACATAGCTGAAATAAAGAATACATTGGAAGAAATAAACAGCAGATTAGAGGAAGCTGGGGATCAGATCAGCCAATTAGAAGTGAATTGAGTGAATTAGAAAAAATCACTAAATCAGAGACCCAAAAACAAAAAACAATGAAAAAAACAGGAGGACAGTCTAAGGGAGCTGTGGGACACAGCATGAAATGTAACAATATTCATATTATAGAAGTTCCAGAGGAGGTTGAAAGTAAGCAGGGGTTAGAGAACCTTTTTGATGAAATAATGGCAGAAAACTTCCCTAACCTGGTCAAGGAAAAAGTCACACAAGTTCAGGAGGCACACACAGTCCCAAGCAAGAAGAATCCAAAGAGGTCCACACCCAGACACATCATAATTAAAATGTCAAGAATCCAATACAAAGAGAGAATCTTAAAGGAAGCTAGAGAAAAGCAATCTGTTACCTACAAAGGAGCCCTCATAAGGCTGCCATCTGACTTCTCATCAGAAACTCTACAGGCCAGAAGGGAATGGCATGAAGTATTCAATGAAGTGCAAAACAGGGATCTGAAACAAAGACTACTCTATCCAGCAAGGCTATCATTCAAAATAGATGGTGAAATAAAGAGCTTCCCAGGCAAAAAAGGCGAAAGGGGTTTATTACCATCAAACCAGCATTGCAGGAAATGTTAAACGAACTGCTGTAAAAATAAAAAGAAATAGAGAAACATAGGCATAAAGAATTAAAATGGCACCCGGCTGGCGTGCCTCAGCTGTTGAGTGTCGACTAGGATCCAGGCGATCGGGGTTCGATTCCTGGTCAGGGCACATGCCCGGGTTGCGGGCTCGATCCCCAGTTGGGGGTATGCAGGAGGCAGCAGATCAATGACTCTCATCATTGATGTTTTTCTCTCTCTCTCCCTTCCT